CCTGATCTGGCTCTTCTAAAGATAGAGGAAAGAAGGAGTCGGGTAGCTAATGAAGCCGTACTTACTTGGATGCGTGGGTGGTGTAATTGATAATCGCTCGGCTAATCAGTATCAGTGTTCCAATTCCCAATGGGTTCATTTACGCGCAAATATCCTTGGAAAATGTATGAATCCACCTCTTCTTTCCCCAGCTCTGATTTAATTAGTAAGACTTGTATCTCTAAACCATTTTTATCCACTACCAAAATACGATGGATGTAACTCGATGTTTCCCTCTATATGTGTTGCTTTCAGAATTTCCTGTGCGTTTCAAATATTCCAAGATCCCTTTCCTCATTATATGCCCTATATTATAAGCTGAGTATAACAAATATAAATGCAATAATGAAAAAAAACACAGGAAAGTGGCTTTAGTAATAAAAAGAAAAAAAAATGTCTTAATAATGTAATCTGCACACTATCAGTTACTCAATTTCTATGTAGGCTTTTCGGCCATACCACGTTGAAACATTGGTTCCCGTACGATCACCGAAGCGAAGCAACGTTGAGCCTGGTCAGTATCTAGACGGGTTACCGCTTGAGAATACCAGGTGCTTTAAATTTGAATGTGTGGGTAGTGTAATTGATAATCGCTCAGAACTGATAATCGGTATCAGTGTTCCAATTCCCAATGGGTTCATTTACGCGCATTATCTTTTGGAAATGTATGAATCCACTTCTTCTTCCCCCCCAGCTATGGCTTAATTAGTAAGACCTGTATCTCTAAACCATTATTATCCACTGCCAAAATACGATGGATGTATTAGTTCAAGTTGAGGTTTGGGTCCCAATAAGTGCTCAGAGAATAGGGCATCACTGACAGGACATGTTCTTCGCGATAGGCGAAAATACATTGGCCGCTAGGTGATGATGGACCATCCATTGTTTGATTTTCAAGGTGTTGAATGTGAACAGGTAGTTTACCCCTTGATCTGTTACAGGACGTGGCTGATAATGATGCTCGACAACTTCCTATCCGTAGTAGCTCTTAGCAATATTATTTGATACCCTTTTCATTATATGTTCTGTCTTCTATTTACTAGTTAAGTTGTTACTAGCTAGTTGCTTTTAGTATGTCCTATGTGTGACAGGTTCTCCGAGAATTTTTCTTAATATGTGTCTAAATGGTGGTACAACAAAATCACTGTTCAATATCATTTAATCTCCAATGCGTCACTGATGCCATCACTATAATCACCTATATTGTTCTAAATGTGCTGCAGTTTGCCTTCACAGTAGTGTTTTCATACTCTAAGATCTTCCAAATCGCTCGAAGAGAGACCATAATATTTCATCGTTTACACTTTCCATTTTCTTCCCATTCACATGCTTACACCTACTACATAGTTTAGTGCACACCTGTATTATGTTCTTTATATTAAGACGAAAGACGTTGAGCTAAAAGTCTTACCGTATATACTTGTGTAAAGTGCGAGTTTTTATGATCAGATTTTTTACGCCAAAAATAGATGTCGAACTCAACATATATCATTTTTTCAAGGAGGTTAAAAATTATGTATTTTTGGGGACCGGTTACACTATACGTAGGTAATTATTTTCGAGGCGGTGTTCAAATTCATGCAAAAAAATTCACATGTTCCATTGTATATGAAGTCGCCATATACACAAGTACATAAGGTATCCTTCTTATATATTTAAATTCTGTGTAACTGGGTAGCAAATATAAGCCAAACATATTTGAAAGAATTCTGCTTGCCGAGATACCTCTTATACATATAAAAATAAATAATGCGAGCACCTCCAGGCGGTGTAATGGTGAGCAAGTTTGTCTCGCTAGAACAATTACGACTGAGTAGTGAGTTCGATCCTCACTGGGTGCCCTATACTTTCGGCCTTGTGCCACATCTAAGATACGCTTGGAAAATAACTATAAAAATAAATAAATAATACATTTTACTTTAGTCGATTGGCATGGCTATTTGAGAAACCTTAAAGAAAACTAAATGTACTCCGACAGAATTCGAACTTGCGTCCAGCTTGGCAGCGGAAATCACCGTTTTATGCGAGGGGATTTAAACCGTTTTCGGTGAAGAAGTCCGTCGACAATCGGGCAAGACTGAATAGTACCTCATAAATGTAAATCCTTCTCAAACGCTTGAATTATATATTGTCATTATATGTACATTTCGAAAAAGAATAAAACACATTTTTCGTTCTTTAATCAATTTTGCTTTTATGAAAATTATGTATATATATATATATGTGTGTGTGTGTGTGTGTGTGAGTGTGTCTGTGTGTATGTGTGTGTGTGTGTGTGTGTGTGTGCAGTCGTTCACAAACAGACTGTTTCGCTGTATCACAGATCATCAGTGTGGTTAAATGTCCGATTCCTTCAAGACGGTATCGAATCTAGACCGATTTGACATCAGTTAGAGATTCTTTGCCCTAGGCTATCGGTGTACGGCAGAGTAAGGAATATTTAACGCATTATATACGTGATGTACAAACGCCATACAAGCAGCCATAGCACTCAATTCTTACCAAGAGCGATGCACTGAAGCAGTAGCAGCTGCCGTTAAAAATTCCGTTTTCTTCATAGTGTTCAATCGGCGATCGTGAGCATATATATATATATATATATATATATATATATATATATATATATATATATATATATATATGTAATGTCATCCAGACAGACTCGCTCGCTGTATTGCTGCTTATCAGTATGGCTAACCGCCCGGTTGCCTCTAGCTAGGATCGAAAACAGTCTGAATTGTCATCAGTCGGAAAATTGGCGCACGACAGGATAAAAAGGTGAATTTAAGCGTATTTATTTTAGATAAACACGCCAGTGACTGACAGAGCACGATTCGTTTTATCGAAGAGTATTGCATTAGTAGCAATAATAGTCACTGTTTACAAACTCACACTTTTTCTCCAGAGTTCAACCGAAATAATTTTTCAGGAGCATATATATTGTCATCACACACACACACACACACACACACACACACACACACACACACACATATATATATATATATATATATATATATATATATATATATATATATATATATATATATATGATGTGATATATGGAGACGAGGAGGAGAAAAGCGAGGATATTAAAATGTATCGGTCGGAGGTTAAATGAAATATGTATACTTTCTTTTCATCTCGGTTCATATGAAATCAAAAGGAATTTTTAATTGTTTAAACAACGGGTCCTAATTTCGATCACTCATTTAATAAGTTTTTGCTCTGGAAATTTTATTATAGCTAACATTTCTTGTTGACAAAGGTTGCAGATATTACTATGATTGTTGGAATATTTGCTTTTTTTTAAGTTTGCCAGATTTTTTCCCTAAATTTCCACACATGTTTGGCTAGCCTAATAGAATTCTTAAAACTATCTAGCTTGAAAAATGACTTGTTTGTGGTTATACGTGCTTTTCTTGACGCTACCTTCAGTACACCCTATGTATAGTTTTTCTGGCCATTTGTATTTATTACTTCTGCTTTATAAATTACTGCTTCAGTTTTGCAGACTCCATCTAACGGACATCTACTTTTATTTCTATAGTTGCATATTTCACAGCTAACGATGTTTTGCTGCACTTTAATTTTGAAATTTCTGCCGTTTTGTCTTTTGATTGTGTTTTCTAAATTACTAGCACTATTGTAGCTAAATTTATACACACACACACACACACACACACACACACACACACATATATATATATATATATATATATATATATATATATATATGAGCAGAAAACTTTCTTTTGAATATTTTTCGTTAAATACGACAGACAAGGAAAATTTGATTAAGTTTTTATTTATTTTTCCAACATTCTTACATTTTTCACTTTCGTAAAAGAAAAAAAATTGTCGGTATTGTTCATTGTTCCAAGAGCTTTCGACCAATATTTTAGCTATATTCAAGGTGGTTTGTTTTTAGTTCTTAGAAATCCATTTGGACTCTGGATAATTAAAATTTGACATAACATATTATATTGTAGGAAATATTGCTATTTAGATGCTTGTAAAATCTATGGTAGACGCGTTGTACGACAAACCTAAGACGTGTACGTAAATTAAAATGAAGATGTCCTTCTTACATTGTATTTGTAATGATTGCAAAACAGATGCATTTGGAGAAGCTGTTAGGAAAAGTGAGAAAGATCTTATTGCCTACAAATATATGCGTTCACCCGTAGAGTCTGTGTCACTCGCCATCGAAGAGGTTACTTAATTAAAAAATAGGATCAATGACAAACTTCTTTGACTACGTCCGTTCATTTTTATAAAGAAGTAAAAGCTTAATAACAGCCTTACTACGATTTATATTGCAGAAACAAAATCATGACAAAGCTAAGAATACTACCAATAAGTTTTGACTTCATCGGAAATATTCAATCGTGTAGACCTTCTAAGGACGTTCTTGACGGAACGTTTATATTGAATACAAGTTTCATTTCTATACGCTTGAAAACCCTATCAAAGTTTTCGTCATAATTAAGAAATCTTATCAAGAGAATAAAAAAAAAATATCTGTAAAGAGGAAAATAAGAGTCTTCTTCTTCTTCTTCTTCTTCTTCTTCTTCTTCTTCTTCTTCTTCTTCTATTATGTTGTATCCCCCTTTCAGGATGTGAATGGACATGGTTCTCCACACAACCCTTGACGCACTAAGAAATATTAGTACCCATAGTACCCGTCCTTGTCCCTGATTTGCCGTTCATTTAAACAAATTCGTTAGATAACTCGATGTTTCCCTCTATACGTGTTGTTTTCAGTAATTCCTGTGCGTTTCAGATATTCCAAGTTCCCTTTCTTCATTATATGCTCTATATTATAAGCTGGGTGTAACAAATAAAAAATGCAATAATGAAAAAAAAAATCACAGGAAAGTGGTTTTAGTAATAAAAAGAAATAAGGTCTTAATAATGTCACCTGCACACTATCAGTTACTCAATTTCTATGTAGGCTTTTCGGCCATACCAAGTTGAAACACCGGTTACCGTACGATCACCGAAGCGAAGCAACGTCGAGCCTGGTCAGTATCTAGACGGGTTACCGCTTGAGAATACAAGGTGCTGTAAATTTGGATGTGTGGGTGGTGTAATTAACAATCGCTCGGAATTGATAATCGGTATCAGTGTTTCAATTCCCAGTGGGTTCACTTACGCGCAAATATACTTGGGAAATGTATAAATCCACCTCTTCCTCCCCCAGTTATGGCTTAATTAGTAAAACTTGTATCTCTAAACCATTATTATGCACTGCCAAAAATATTACAATATAAGAATATAAATATATTTTTAAATAGCCTGCAAAGGCTTGATAAGCCATGGGAAATGAATGAAACAATCTAACTTTCTGAAGTATAAAAAAAGTAATTGCGAAATGAAAAGTTCCTACGAAGATATAATAATGTGTTTGAAATTTCCAGAATTATACGTTCATAAACTAACACATTTAGAAATGTTATTATTATTATTATTATTGTTATTGTTGTTGTTGTTGTTCTTCTTCTTCTTCTTGCTTTTTACTGCCGTTATATTTTTTTGTCATCATTCCTCGCTTTTTTTAGAATTCTTAATTATTGTATATCAAAATACAGTTATTAAAAAAGTTAATATTGCAGTAATTGATGTAGCCAATTAATATTATTATTATTATTATTTTTATTATTATTATTATTATTATTAGAATAGTATATTTTGTAGAAGTGTCAAAGTAAGAGTTGCTGAAATAGGTTCGAACCGGACACGAAGGGAAACTTTTTTCCCTGATTCTTATGTTTATTCACTGGGTCAAATTTTGAGAAGTCGCTTGGGCCGAGATCCATTCAAAAGCATTCGTAGGATTATTATTATTATTATTATTATTATTATTATTATTATTTTAGGTTAGATTTTTGCTGTTATTTTGCTACTATTGTTGTTTTTTTGTTGTTTTTTTTTTTTCGTGTTGTTAAAAGCAATGTTTTGAAGTTTGTTTAATGCCATTATGTAGAATGGGAACATTAGTTAGAAAAAAGGTCGTCGTAAAAACATAAGTTGCTTTGGATGATTTTCTGAATGAAAAGCTACTGTCGAGAGTATTTGTACAAAAAAAAAATGTATGAAAATGAAGAAAACAATTTTAATTCATTAAAATAAATGAATCATTCGTTATTTCGGGAACGAAACGGACTACCTTCTCTTGCGGCTCTCGCTAAATTCTGTTTCTCTTAGATTTGCTATTTTTTATAACGTGTTCACCAAGTTGTTGTTGCTTTATATAATTGCTTAGATGCATTAACGTGTAAAAAATAAGGCGTACAAAGAATATTGTACATCTAAGTATACAAGGGGATAAACAAATACAATTATAAATATCTATAAAATATTAAGTGTATAAATACATTATGTGATAGTCAGATATACACAAGCAGAAAAATTGTGCAATTTCCATGCACATACATAACATGCACACATACATATACATACACACATATATATATATATATATATATATATATATATATATATATATATATATATATGTTATGCACTGTTACATTAGAACATGCACGTATTCACTACAAATCTGTACATCTTGTTTCAACGTTAAAGTTTTTCTTAGCGTTACATCAGGTGGAAATCAAGATGCTACTAAAATCTAATGCTTTTAGTAGTATTGTGATTCCCCACCTGATGAAACGATAATTTTTAAACGTTGAAACAAGATGCCAAGTTTTGTAGTGGGTATGTACATGTTCTAATGTAGCAGTGCATAATAAATAAATATTTATGGCTCTACTTTTGTATTGTGCCTTGTTTTAAATTAACGTTTTGAACGCTGACATTTTACACTTCGTTCTGTTACATTTGTATATGTATATATATATATATATATATATATATATATATATATATATATATATATATATATGTCTGTGTGTGTGTGTGTGTGTGTGTGTGTGTGTGTGTGTGTGTGTGAAAAATATATAGAAAATAGGAAAGAACTCGTTAGGTAAATAATCCGAAGATCTTCAGTATTTTTGTTATTATTTTTAAAAAAATAGTGCTCGATACAAAAGTTATTTAATTTAATTCAAATAATTATATTGAAGTTCTCGGCTCTTGTTTCAAAACATGAGAACTCTTATGTAGCGTGTTGGAATCATATTTTGAAATAATGAGCATCAACGAAGTTTTAGGGAAAACGGAAACCAAAAAAACACTTATGATTAACTTCAGGAAGAGGCAGTTGAAATTTTTAGAGCACATAATGAAGAAAGAGGGCTTGAAAAATTTGATACTCATGGGGCAAATTAAAGATGAGAGGGACAGATGAAAACAGCGTATAATCTACCTAGCGAGCTTTAGTAAATGGATGTGGGAGCAAGTTTTAGGAAAGAACAGAAACAAGATTTATTAAAAGCTACAAATGAGAGTGTTATGTCCTTGTTAGGGGGTCAGAAACAAAGACACAAAGAGCGGAATTGAGTCAAATATGTTAACAGAAACATATATATATATATATATATATATATGTGTGTGTGTGTCTGTGTGTGTACGTGTTTGTGTGTGTGTGTGTGTTTTTGTGTGTGTATGAACAACCAAGACTGAAGAAACGTTGTAAGGCCTTGCGTGCAAATTTACTATTGACAATTTCATGATAACTTGCTCACCATAATGAAACTGCCCACAATTTTGATTTAAAAATTGCAACACTAATTCTAAGACGAAAATGTTTATAAAATGCTTTAATAACAAAAATGATGGTAATGTAAAGAAAATGAATTTAAATTAAATATAAGAATTTAAATGATATATCCCAAAACATATATTAGAAAAAATAATTTGAAAATATTCAGCGTTTTTTTCCCTTCGTGTGCAAGTGTAGTCGCATCAATGTTAAAATTCATTCAGTCTGATGAAGTCCTAAACGATGAAACGTGTCACAGGAAAACTACAGTTTGCCATATTATTTTCCTATGAAATTGTTCTTGATTTATGAAAATATTACATATCTCTTTCCCTGTAGATTGGCTTTTCCTGATATTGAACTCCACACACACACACACACATATATATATATATATATATATATATATATATATATATATATATATATATATATATATATATATATATATATATATATAGCAGGTTATAATTGTTCCAACGAGAGAAAATGTATATTTTAAAATATGTGAGAAACCGCGAACGTTTTTGTATATAATGTGGATTTGTTTTAGTGCATATATTATATTTTATTCTTTATATGAAGAATAAAAATATACAAAATAATAAAAATATAATATATACACTAAAACAAATTCCCATTGTAACCAGAAACGTTTGTGGTTTGTCTTTTTTAATATATATATATATATATATATATATATATATATATATATATATATATATAAATATTAAAAATTAAGATCTTCAGACACACTGGGTTGTGTCTGAAGATATATTCTTTCGTTGTTTTTATTATTTCATTTAGATTCATCGATTAGTTTCAGCCAAAATGGCCATCATAAATATATATATATATATATATATATATATATATATATATATATATATATATATATATATATAAATATATACACTAGTAATGAAGGTCAAGGCTCTTGTCCATTTCAGGTTAAGGTGGTTGTCACCAGGGTTTTATCCTTGAACCTACGTTGATTATCTTCATCATCGATATTCTCGAGGACATCAGTAAATTTTACACTATATATATATGTGTGTGTTTGTGTGTGTGAGTGTGTGTATATATATATATATATGTGTATTGTTTTAAAAAGCGATTATTGGAAATGTAATATAATCTAAACACAGATGAAAGTGAAAATATACATTTTTTAGAGAATTTACATTAAAAATATACAGACTACTTATTCATTATTTTTTATATTTACAACATTCTAAAAAATTAGACTTAGAATGAATGCAATGTAATATTCATCATTTATAAAAGAAAAAATCTAAACGTGAAAAAGCTTTTATTCATAAATATGTAAGCTTTTACGAAATTACTTAAGTAAGTGAACCAACTATAAAGTAATCTTCATTATTTACCATTTTATAAAGTTTGAATGAATTGGCCATTTAGCTATGACTTGTTAACCATTCCAATACAATGATATAATAAAATAACTAGTGTAAATAAGCAGTCTAATATATAAATAGTGTTTATTTTATTGTGGTCAATTCTCAAGAACAAAGAAAATGTATAAATTTACTTTCATATGTTTTGTTTTTATTACAATTCTAAATATCGCTTTTTTAAAACTGTACTGGAGATTGAAGGTAGTTTAAAAACATATGCCTTGGCAAAACAAAAATATTGATACTACTCTCATTGCGGGTACGTTTTTCCTTGTTTGCCCAAAATTGGTATTATTTTTTGACATCCTGTGTATTGTTATTAATTATTAATTATTTCCTTCATTAAATGCTTTCAAACATTCGATCTTAAAAATTCATGTCCAATACGTGATACACGCTTAGGCGATCATGTGTCTTCTGATACATGATTGACAGATTTTTACCGCAGTAGGTTTCCATTTCTTTTTGCGGTAGACCAGCTGCAATCCAAGGCTATAGAACCCGGTCTGTCCTGCTATTTACCACTAAAGGGTATTTTCACGTTAGCGAGTGTAATAGATTCGACTAGAATTCGAACTCAGCTCTCCGATTCTTCAATCCTAGCCCCTATCCATTACTCCACTGGGCCTGCGCAAATACTCCAGTGCATGCCGAAATGTCATGATATAAACTTTAATGTGTAACACGTAAATATATAGAGTTTTGAGAAGAAAGTACCGAAGTATAATAGTGATTTTCCAAGCTTATCTTAGATGTGGCGCAAGGCTTAAAGTAGGGGGCACCCAGTGAGGGTCGAACTCACTATTCACTCGCAATTGTTCTAGCAAGACAAGCTTGCTAACTATTACACCGCCTCGAGGAGTCCAATCAAAGTATAATATAGTACCACAAAATCCTCTTTATAGCGATAGAATAATATACAACAACATTATTCCCTGCATAATATAACTTGTATTTTAATTAGTTCGTTTAAAAATCGGGTATAT